TTATACAAAACTATATAAATATGACTGATCATTCATATGTTCAGTTTTCCTATATCCTCCTGTGAGCTCACAAAGTTAAGATTATACCTGTAATAATTTGACTTTAGATAATGAAAGGTGCTGTCCAAATGATGTAAAATGATTACAGTGACATTAATACGGACAGGCCCCAAAGGTCAAGACTAGAAACAGATGTGTACGTGTGTGAGATTACCGGCTCCAGGAGCGTACAGGTCAACATCTCTCTCTGAGTATTAAAACTAAACATTGTCTTTGAACAGGAAGTACTTTTCAGAAAAAAATGACGTCCAGCGGTTATTCCTTTTTTTTTTTTTTTTTTTAAATACAACCTGCTAGTAGTATTTGTGATAAATATCTGTCCTGCTTTGTTATTATATTTATAAAGATGTTTGTATCAGTTAATAAGCACCGGAAACAAAGACCTGTTGTGTTCTCGTTACCTTAGAATGAGCCGTTTATATCTATATATGGAGAGGGTCCTCTTCTGGCGGAGTCTTCCATGTTGTTTCTACAGTAGCCCAGGGCGTACAAATCAAACGCTGGCTCTACATAGGGCAGTTTGCATTCTCACATCAGCCACCACAGTTCTCTAACACACTTGACACATGGGAGCAGTTTCAGTTCTGCAACCTTACCGTTAGATTGCATTAAATCCTGCACACTGGACCTTTTTAAGTTTTGAAATCTTTAAACAAAAATTGATGACAGTATAAACTAAAGAAATAAATGTGCTGGGACCTGACACATGGCCACTCTAAAAGATAGGGCCACAAGATTGTGTAATAGTGCAGTATCTGGTTGATATTTTACTTAAGTAGTGCAAAGCCTCTCACAAATTTGCACATAGTGACACTGGGGCTCTTTTTTGCATCCCAGAGCAGTTGCCTGCTTTGCTTGGTGGGTAATACGGCGTTACACAGACACATTTACTTCGCTCATATATGGCAGTACAAAATATTTATTACTGTTACTTGACTAACAGATCCAATGTGTAGGATTTAGTAACATCTATTAGCAGAGGTTTATAATCATCTGAAAAATAAGAATTACTGTGTTTAATGTTTAACTTATGTATCCAGCAGGGTCTCATCTACACCAAATTAAACACTGGCTCTAGATAGGGCTATTTGCATTTTCCTGTGGGCCACCATAGTTCTCCTTCAGGCTCAGCACACGGGAGAGGTTATAGTTATGCAACTTCGCTGCTAGATGCCACGAAATACTACACACTGGATCTGTTAGTGCAAGTACTGTTGTTTTGTTAAACCTGCTGAAGTAGTCCCTGAGTTTATCACAAAGTACAGCTCTTACATTAAAGTTACTACAAGTGTTGCTGGAGTTTTGACCTCTTCAGAATATTTTCCGTCTGCACTGGAAGTAGGTTTTGCCAGAAATTGCGTCTCTGCCTCTCATTTCAGTCGGCGATGACATCAGAATGGACCATGATGAAATAAGGGCTCTTGCTTTTCCACAAAAATCTACTTAAATTAAAGTAACATCTTAGAATCAACCGTGGGCCTTTCACAAAAAGGATATGATGAAAAGAGATGGGTTGGTTTCAGTAGCAAGATCACATGTGGTAACTTTCCACCATTTAACATAGGAATTTTAATATCACAGCAGATAAAGTTTTCCACATATTAGTTACAGCAGTGTCCCTGTAGCTGTAAACTTACCACTAAGTGTTGCAAACACATCATGTAAGACTTATTGATTTAGCATTAAGCTGTGTTTATTATGCACGCATGCAATTAGAGTCAAATTAAAGATGATGACACATCCCCCACATCTTCCTGAATGAGTCATTCAGGAAGATGTTCAGTGGGTCAATTTTAAGACTCAAAAGAGATGAAATGCACTTAATGTAGGCTATCTCATACCCTGGGGGGGATGAATTCATAACTGCATTGATTCCAGGATATTGCACCTGACATTACAAAATACTTACAGATACTAATGTCCTGAGAAATATAATAAAATATCATCAGAATCCATCTAAGTGAGAGAACACTCCAGCTGGTTTTATGACAGGGGTAAGTTAAAATCCCAGAGTGAACCATTATTGGTTCATTGTTTGCCAAATCACTACATTTACACCAGTGTATCAGGTAATCCAGCTATTGTGGTCATCTCAAATCAGTGTTAATCAGGGGAGGATGGAGCTAGGTAAGACTGACCAGCTGGAGTGAGGCCCACCTGCATAAAGGACGCCCCCTGCTGGACAGCAGCAAGAATAACAGAAAGTAAGGTAAACTAGTATTCACAAGGGGTCAGTAATAAAAACATATTTTTGTTGGTTTTCAAACAACATATAAACTGCTGTACAGCATTATACAAGAAGAAGAAAAGACGAGTATATACACATGTATATGCACAAGTACACACCGATTAGCCAAAACATTAAAACCACTGGCAGGTGAAGTGGATAACATTGATCATTTCATCACAATGCAATGGTCTGGTAGGACACCTTGGGTCCTGGCATTCATGTGGTAGCCCCTTTACACACTCCAACCACCTAAACATTGTTATAGACCAATTACACCTGCTCATTGCAATAGTATCCTGATGATAGTAGCCCACCAGCAAGGCAATGCACCATGCCCAACTGCAAACACTGCTCAGGATTGGTCCAAGGAACGTGACACAGAGCTCAGGGTGTTGACCTAGCTTTCACATTCCCCAGATCCCAATCTGATCGAGCATCTGTGGGACAAGCCGGAACCCCAGAGGTCCTTTGTCCAGGCCTTGACAGGTCAGAGCCAATCCGACCTACGGTGGAGCCTCTGACCTGTCGAGGCATGGAGACTCTGGGGGTGTCCTGTGTTGTCTGGCACCAAGGTGTTGTTGATGGATCCTTTGAGTCCCGTGGGCTAAAAATAAAAAAAATGAAATATGACTTAATTCATGTGGAGTTATCAAAAAAAGTGGGGGTTTAGAGCCTGGCTTTTATATATTCCAAGAATGGATTCCAAATTCTCATAGATTTTTATCAGAATAGCCGTTTAATGTGAGTCTTATTTTCTCAGGTTTGAGATGTTGCATCACTTCCCTCAACCACTGAGTCCAGCTCGGTGGACAGTGGACAGATTAAGACACAGCCAGAGTGATTGGGCTGAGGGTGCAGGAGAAAGTCTGCACCTGTCACAAGTAGAATCAACATCAGGGTACATTTTAGAGAGTTTGACTTTTGAGAAATGAGAAATGTTTTGTGCCTGATGGATATGTATGACTGTATCAATGTTTCTTACTGTAATGATAATTGTTGTAATGTACCATGTTATACTATATTATATTTATATGTTACATTGACTCTTGCCAATTGACATTATTTCACACAACATTCATTATCTTTAAATACGACCAGAGTTATGTTATCCTCCTGAGACCTCAGCTTCTGTCTGTTGTTAATGTCTCCCAGCTGTTTGGGACCAGTCGGACCTGATGAGTGTAAAAATGAAACATTGTCTCTGAACAGGAACTAGTTTTCAGAAAAAAATGATGTTCTCATACGAGGACGTTGGGCTTATTTTTAATAGTCACAGTGTGTAATTAAGTATGATCCTGTGTATTTCAATATCTGAATGTTGTGGAAATAAAAACTAAATTACAAATAATAAAACCAATCGAGAAGTCTGTGATTTGTTCATTTAGAAACTCCACATCAATTTTCTTTGCTCCATACTCAAAGCAAGGAGTGTCCTTTTGTCTGTAATGACAGTCTGAGCATAATAAAGTCTCAGTGTCCTCAAACGAGTACTTCCTAATTAACAGCGTCTTATCTTGTTACTGTTGCTAAAACTGGTCACATGTGTATGACATATCAAATTGCAAATATTATTAATCATAGACACACTAGTTTCAACCATGACATCTGATCAGGTTTTGTACCTTGTTCCTTTTGTTTCGGGATTGGCTGCAGACTGACTTGGCAGAGATGGCTACCATCTTGTTTTTACATGGATCAGTGTATGTGTTCTTGCAACCACCAGATGGGACAAAAGGTGTCCATGAACGAGGACAACAGGTCAAAGATAAGCAGAATGAAGTGTAAGGTGCAGCAAACCCAGAACATGATGTCCTCATATGAGGATGCAGGGTCTCAGGAGGACATACACCGATCAGCCCAAACATTAAAACCGCTGACAGGTGAAGTGAGTAACTCTGATTATTTTGTTCCAATGCATTGTTCTGCTGGGAAACCTTTGGTTCTAGCATTCATGTGGATACCACCTGACATGTTCCACCCACTCAAACACCTTTGCAGACCAAGTACTCCCCTATGGCAGTGCCCCCCCAGCAGACAAAAGCAGCATGCCACACTACAAAAACTGTTTGGAAATGGCCTGTGGAGCGTGACAAAAAGCTCAAAGTGTCGACCTGGTTTCTAAATTTCCCAGGTGCCAATCTGCTCAAGGATTCTTGTGATGTGCAGGTACCCCAGATGTACCCCTAATCCAAGGTGGAGCCTCCTTGGGTTGGAGGCTCTGACCTATCGAAGCATGGACACAGGATCTCTAGGAGTGTCCTGCGGTGTCTGGCACCAGTGTGTTGGTGGCAGATCCATTTAGTCAGCCAGTGGGTTGGATTAATGGCCACTTTGAGGTCTTTGTCACATTCCTTGGGCCATTCCTGAGCGATGATTGCAGTGTGGCATGGTGCAATATCCTGCTGGGGGGCCACTGCCATTGGGGGATACTGTTGCCATGAGGGGGGTACTTGGTTTGCAATGGTGTTTGAGTGGGTGGAACTCAAAGTTATTCACTTCACCTGTCAGTGGTTTTAATGTCTCGACTGATGTACAACCTGTTTTGACAGCACTGAGCTTGATCATGGTTGAAATTCAAAGTCTTTACATATCTTGGCCACTGGGGGCCGCTGTAGCCGTTAACCACTGTCTGGCACGAGCGGCGCAGAAACGTCGCACTCTCTCATTGGCTGTTGGCGTCTGGGGTCAAACAGCGTTGCGCATGCTCAGATAGCCTTTTTCGGTTAGAGACTGAAATCTGTCAGATCAGCGGAGCGTACATTCCCTTAATACCTTCTAATATTTCACAATACTTTCTTCCCCTAGTCTGCGATAGAGACTTTAATCTAGCTCGAAGGGTCGCCAGGTTTGGATTTTGACTTTTCGACGTCTGCAGGCGAAGGAAACGGCAAAGAATGACGAGCAATTTAAAGCGGAAAGAAGAAAGTCATCTGGTGAATGGGGGTGTAAAACAGCCCACATGGAGCAAAGCCTTCAACAGTAGTGCTGTTTGGGAAGAGAAGGTCAGTCACTTGTCCTTTTAAAACGCAGCCCGGCCGCCATGTAGTCGCTGTTAGTTGCCCCAAGGTGCTTCATGCACCTAATTTGGTGTCGGGTGCTCTTAAAGACGGCTACGTGGAGCTAGCTGCCATGCTAAGGATTAATGTGGTTTGGCTAGGTTAGCTGTCAAACCTAAAGGAGAACCGTTATTCTCTGTGTGGTTTGGGCTTTCCTCTAAATATAGCTGTGAAGTCGACGACATGTTTACAGTGCAGGGTGTCATGACTGCCTACACATTTGAATTCAAGGGATAAAGTCAATAAAATACCAATTAAATGTTGCATTATATTCTCCCACACTAAATTAGTTTGCCTCTAAGTAGCCTAGGGTTGCAACTAAGGATTAATTTAATAGTCTTTTATTGCTTTTGATTGATCGATTAACTGTTAAATATGTAAAATATTAAGAATTATTTTTAAAAAATTGCCTGGAACAAAATAAACTGGAAGTCAACTTTATTTATGTAGCACCTTTCATACAAACGTGCAGCACAAAGTGCTTCACGTGGCAATTTTGGATTACACACACTAAAATATTAAATAAAATATTAAAAAAGCAAAAAAGAAAACAAAAAAAAAACGATTAAAACTCCACAGAATACAAAGAGAGTATACAAATCAATAAAATAGAATAAAAATAAACAGGAGCGATTAAAAAAAGAAGAAGTAAAAAACAGTGGTTAAAACCTAAAATCAAGACTGTAATGTGACTCCATTTTAAAAGCCAGATTAAAAACTTAGGTCTTTAATTTGAAAATACTGACAGAGCTTGCCGTTTTAATATCCAGAGGTAGGGATTTCCATAAATTAGAGGCGTAAAAACAGAAAGCACTTTTATGAGACACATGAGGAACATTTAAAAGTAAAGCAGTGGAGGACCTTAGTGATCTGGCTGGAACATAAAATGATAGAAAATCTCTGTGTGGAGGGGCAAGGTCATTTAAAGCTTTCGAAACAGTTAAAACAACTTTAAAATTCTTTAAGACACAGGTAGCCAGTGTAGTGACTTCAGCACTGGGGTAATGTGAGCCATTTTCCTTGTTTTAGTCAACACTCTGGCTGCAGCATTGTCGACTAGCTGTCATTTACCTATTGACTTTTTGGGTAGTCCAGTGAAAAGGGAATTGCAAGTCTAAAGGGCTGGTAAGAAAAGCATGAGTGAGTATTTCTGCATCTTTCTGGGTTACAAAAAGGTCTGACCTTAGCAAGGTTATGAAGATGAAAAAAGGAGATTGCTTGTGCTAGAAAAACTGAAACGGTTAATCGATTATCAAAATAGTTTTCAGTTGATTTTCTGTTGATCAGCTATGTGATTAATTGCAATTTTAACGTTTATTTTGGACATAAACGTGCATAGATAAGACAGAAAAAAAATTAAAAGTTTAAACATTGTGCAGGAGAGGTAAGAAGCCAAAAATGGCTCATGAAGATACCTTCCCAGTTAAAAACCAATAGTCATACAAAAAAAGAAAAGATAGAAACAACTGAACAAAGGTTTCCAGACTGAGCAGTAATACAAAATTGCTAGAAAAATTGAATTTGCAAGCTAAAATGCATTACAAATGAATCAATGAAATGTCACGAGTCTTCGCAAATTAGAGTCCTTTTCAGATGTTTTTTGAATAATGATAATGTAAATGTTGATTTTAGAGATGGAGGTAGGTTGTTCTTCTGTCTTCCAAGCTTGTTTTGTCAAAGTGTATTTCCCCTTACCCTAACATGAACCCAACCTCAACTTGAGGTCATTTTAACAACACCTAAACACAACCTAAATGAAGCCCTAACCCACACCACAGAGGTCAGCACTATGGGAGACACTTTTTGAAGGAGAAACAGACTTTGACACAAGACTTTAAACAAAGCATTTTATTATGTATTCCTGTTTTGAACATTTTTTTTCTGTGGAATGAATTAGAGCTTGAAATTTGAGTTGATTATAATGTCCTGTACAGCTCATGATGTTCTTCTTAAGTCAGTATTGGTGTTACATCTGTGCAAGTTATGGTTTTCTTTAAATTAAGTTTCTGTATTTCTCTTTACAGGATGAATTTTTAGATGTGATTTACTGGCTTCGGCAAATTATTGCAGTAATCCTCGGTGTGATATGGGGTGTGGCACCGTTGAAAGGATTCCTGGGAATAGCCATGTAAGTATTCTGTGCAGCCTGCCTCTGTCATATAACCTTTACAGGAAAGGCAGAAAAGTTAACATGTTCACTTGTTTGCCTCGTCAGATTCTGCATCATCAATGCTGGCGTCCTGTATGTATACTTCAGCAGCTTTCAGCAGATCGATGAGGAAGAGTATGGTGGCACGTGGGAACTCACCAAAGAAGGCTTCATGACATCTTTTGCTCTGTTTCTGGTGGGGATGCTAATATTTATTTCAGTTGTTTATGAATAGAGGTTCAAAATAGGACGGGGACAATGCAAAGACGGATATACCATACGAACAGTGATTCATGTTAGAGGTTAGATTCAGTTGAGCTGGCTCCAGACCCTCTGTGACCCTAGGCAGCCTAAGTAGTTTTAGAGGTTAAATGAATGAGTGTTTTGGGTGGAGATGATTTAAAAACTGCTTTTAAATCTTATACTTATTTCAGTTTTAAATTAAACAAGCCTTGAGCATAGTCTGTACAACTTATTCTTGATCAGGATTTAGACAGTTTCCATCTGAGTTAGATTTAAGAGAGACTGCTAAAAACTTAAGAGTTAAACTTAAACTTTAAAGATCAGTATGTTGTTGTGTTTTTGAAACAGGGGACCTTATCAAATTCAGGTTTCAAGTTCCTATACACTATTAACTTTAACATTTTACCTGTGTGCACCAATTTATTTTATTTTATTAAACCTTTATTTAACCAGGAAGTCCCATTGAGATTGAAAATCTCTTTTACAAGAGAGACCTGGCCAAGGCAGCAGCCAATCACAACACATTTAAAATGCAACAAATACAACATATAATACAAAAATCCACAATAAAACAACAAGTATTCAAACATAGTGGCACATGCCTGAATGGAATGTTTTGGATCTTAAATTTTATTCTTATATTTTATGATTTAAAAAAAAAAATCAAAGTGTAATGTGATGCTTAAAGCTTGGTGGAACACTGCATCTGTAACATGCGGAGAAGTCTGTCACATGTGAGCACCAACTGAGAATAGATGTGAGAATTAAACCAGACTGCTACAGGCCCCCTTAAGTGGTATGATTTTTGGGCTGCCCCAGATGAACGATGACAGTCACGAGTGAAACACGGTGAAGTATTCGGTCGTTTAGACAAGTCCACTTGCACCGTGTGACATGCAGTAAACTTGATTTGTGTTTTTGCAAATTATTGTACAGGCGACCTAAAGGGATACTTCTCAGATTTTCAACTAGCTCTGTATCATAACAAAGTGGGCAGTATGTGCAAATGAACTGTAGTAAACCCCTCCAGATCTCCCTGCTCATCTCCCAGCCCAAATCTGCACTGTTTTCACTGGCTTTATGACTGTTGCTCGAACTAAAGATTAGAACTAAAGATTGTACTTCCGCATTTTCGTATGCCCGCCACCACAGACACAAAGAGTATAGAAGTGGATTGATTGTAAGACCCACCCTTCTCAAACTCCAATCACACTATAAAACCAGGCAGAGCTGATCAAATGTAAACCAAGATCCTGTTACTGCGTTGCCTGTTTCTCACCTCAGATATCTTCAGAAACATATTTTAGTTCACTCATTGGCTATAATTTAAGAATTTGTATTGTAACAGAGGCCGGAAATACTGAGATCAAATGGTAAAACTAGGCAAAGCTGATCAAATGTAAATGTTACTGCGTTACCTGTTTCTCGACAATTTTTTTTAAACTTTCTGTTAAGCTGTAATTCAAGATAATTTGTCACCAGCCAGTGGCCATATTGTTTCCTGTGAAAACGGCCGAGCTGGCATTAAATCACCCACCAGCTTGGAGCGTTTATCGGTCCGGTACGGCGCAGTGTATTCTGGTAGTTGTAGGTTTTTTACTTTTTGAGCAAAAGCAAACACCACAGCCATTTTTCTCTGCTTTCTCTGGTAGTGTAGCACCATAATGAAAAGTATTTTTGTCTTTTTGCTGCACAGACAGCCTAGTTTTAGGAAAATACCATCTTTTTAGCAGTGAAATACTTTAAGTCAGTGTTTGTTTATTAAGCCCATCATTAGTCAGTCTGTATTTAGTTCACTGTGCTTACTGCTATGACATGACTCACTCTGTTGCTTGTGAAGCATATGATTTGATCATTGGTGCCTAATGTGCCATATTTTTTCTTTGCCAGGTGGTGTGGATAATCTTTTACACAGCTCTACATTTTGACTGAGAGGAATCCATTGGACACTAAATACGAACATTTCTGTTGAAGTAAATTGTCAAGACAGAGGAACTCCACGGCTTGAGGGGTGTCAACGCTCCCACATACAGTATGACTTTTCAGTGTGCAGCGAATCATGGGAATCCCAGTTTGATTAAAGAGATCCTGCAAGACCACCGTGATGTACAAGTTCAAATAATGTACACCTCTCTAATTCCTTTTTAAGGCAACCCTCCATTACACTTCTCGTATGTTTATATTTCCTTCCTTACGTCATCGTCATCGTCATCGTCTCTTACAAAACACTAATGGATAGTTCAGCTGAGATTGGTTGCAGCTCTATTAGCGATGGAGGATTTACCTTGCTGTAAATCAGAAGTGGGATTCTTAATATTTATTGGTTTAACATAGGGCCTTTCTTCTGTTTTGGAAAAGTGACATGAACGCAGATTTTAGACTGTTAAAATAACAACTAGTATGTATATTCACCCCAGTGTACTGCTCATAAGCCGGTCACTTAAGTAACAGGAAGTGGTTAATAAAAACAAAGTGTTGTCATAGTTATTAGCGATCAATCAGTCCATGAGTGTGAAGTGTTACCTTTTAATTTAGGGACAAAATGCACCATATTGGATGTATAAAACCACCAGTAAAGGATGTGGCTTCACTGTTAATCATCCCTCTCTCTAAAATTATGTTTGCCTTTTTAAAAAGATAATCTTTGCCTCACAATTGATTATAATGAGTAAAAATTAAATAGTTAAAAATTGGCATGGCATTAAAGCACATTATAGGCAAACATCACGGTTGCAGCTACAGTAGGTGTCTGTGCTTTTAAGGGTGGAGTCATCTGATTTCATGAAATATTGAGAGGTGACTTTGAGCTTCCATGTTTTTGTTTGTTTGTTTTTCTCAGTGGATATAAATATAGCATTTTTCAATAAAATCTGTCAATTGTTATTTCTTCTAAACAGTCTGGTGTCCAAGAAATGTGAAAGCTTGTCGCCAACCAAAGCTGAACACTCACTGATTTTATCATATAAAAAACAAAACAAATGCTGGTTGGTAAGATACACGTATCAGCTGATATCCAATCCGATGACAGTATCTATCAGTTGTATCACAGCGCTGTTACTTCAGTCAGGAACTAATAACCATTTAAGTTTTCTGTCCATCCAAGTGATTTCCTCAAAGCAACGAGGGAGGAAACGTGCATGCCGTTTTCAGATGCAAACGTCCACAGATCTAAGCTAAAAACTGGTCTGTGCACTGCCATGACTTGCTGTTCGTATATCTAGATGTCATTTACTAATGGCACGAGTTAGGAGGGTAGAAATAATTTAAATTTATTACTTTATTCTCACATGTAGCTTCCAGATCAAAGTCTTACCTGTTGTTTTGAAATTAACTTAAACGTGTCTGTAAATTCTGTACAATGTCCCTTTTGTCAAATCCACCTTGTATTACACAGATTTATTTGTACTTATGTTATATCTTGTTTGATGTAACATATTTCTCAGTATTTTATAGTGAAGAACTTTTAAAAACAGTTCTTGCAAAATTATTGTAACGATACTGTTATATTAGATACGCAGCTGGTGTTTGAGAGGATTGTATTTTCTGATCAAATCTTTTGGGAATCATTAAACATGGGCTTTGTTTGGCCTCCATTTTCAAAGAGATGGTATCTGTTTTTTATTGATGCGAAGATATTTTAGTGTGTTAGTTTCTGTCAGGTGACTAATTCATCATGCTAGTGTTACCGTTTGCTTTTTGCTTTCTCCGTATTAAAAAAAAATTCAAAATAACAGACAAATATACAATATTTATGTCTTTAGCATTAGCATACAGTTGCCATTAAGCTATAGAGACCAAAATTGTTTCTTTTACCAGGCTGTGAACGTGTATTTCTGCTGTAACTGCCATTTTAACATGGGTGTCTGAGGGGATTGACTGGCCTCTGGAGCCAGCATCTAGTGGCCGTTCACGGAACTGCAGTTTTTGGCCCTTGAGTGTTGGCTTCACTTTCAGCCCCAGAGGTTGCAGCTTGATTTTTATGCCTTTTCTGCGTCAGTTAACAGCACAAATGTCTTTAATTTCATCTAAACAAAAGTCCTCTGCTACTTTAATGTTTTTATTTGGGTGGGTGTACATGTTATAAATATTGAGGGGGATCTGTCCCCTACGTCCCCCTCGAAATCTACACCCATGGCAATATCCTAACATGCTTTCTGGATGGCGGGTGTCTAAATGGTGGACATTGTAATTCTACTTAATTTGGGCAGTTAAAAAAAAACTAAAATTTTAAGAAAAAACAATTAAGTGGCATTTTTTTTGGTTTGCAGCCAAGTGTGAAGCGTTCTGGATAAGAATCAGAATCTGAAGCCATGGTTCTCTGCCAGAAACCGGTGGATTACCCTCTCCAGGTTGGGAGGGAGTGACTGCCTCAAGCGAGGGAATTCAAGTATCTTGGGGTCTTGTTCACGAGTGAGGGTTGAATGGAGCATGAGATGGATCAGCGGTTTGGTGTGGCTTCTGCAGTGATGCAGGCGCTGCGCTAGTTCATTGTGGTGAAGAGGGAGCTGAGCTGGAAGGTGAAGTTTTCGAATTACTGGTCCATCTACGTCCCAACCCTCACCTATGGTCATGAGCTCTGGGTAGTGACCGAAAGAATGAGGTTGCGGATACAAGCAGCTGAAATGAGTTTCCTCCGTGGGGTGGCTGGGCTCAGCCTTAGAGATAGGGTGAGGAGCTTGGACATTCGGAGGGAGCTCGGAGTAGAGCCACTGCTCCTTCATGTCTAAAGGGATAAGTTGAGGTGGTTCAGGCATCTGATCAGGATGCCATCTGGGCGCCTTCCACTGGAGGTGTTTCAGGCACGTCCCACTGGTAGAACATGGCAGAACATGTTGGAGGGATTACATATCTCATCTGGCCTGGGAACACCTTGAGGTCCCCCAGGAGGAGCTGGAAAGCGTTGCTGGGGAGAGGGACGTCTGGGTTGCTTTGCTTGGCCTGCTGCCCCTGCAACCCGGCCCTGGATAAGCGGATGAAAATGGATGGATGGATTATGTTTCTTCTTCTTTTTTTTTCTTACAAAGTAGTGTAAAAAAAAGTAGTAGTTTCATTTTATACGTAGCTGTGAGTTAACCAACCTAGATCCCTCCCTAAGGCAGCTTTGCTATAGTTCAACTTCTTCCAGCTCCAGTGTTCAGTGTATTAATCAGAGAATTGCTGGTGTATGTGGCCCTTGTTGGCCCCTGCTGAAAAACAATGACTATCATCTAACCTAAACTTGCAGCTGCAGCTGTTTTCAAACGCATTGACATCATTCATAAAATGTGAGCTCATGACGCCATCTACGCGGAAGGAAAAAAAATAACATGTGACGTAAAAGCCAAGATGGCGGCTCCCCTCTCCACGATGAAATTCTGGAAGCCGGGTAAGTACGGAAGAAAAAAATGAATAAATTAGGCATTTTGTGTTTGTCTGTCGGGTTCGTATTTATCACCGTACAGTTGCCGGTACAGTTGAGTCGGTCTCGGTTTGGTTTTATCCGCGTTCACGGCAGCTGCGTGATGTCTGCAGGTTCACTTCAGCTCAGCCCGGGTGTCGTTAGCTCTGCGGACTCAATCCGTTCAACCTGCCAAAATAAAACAAGCAGGCTGTGGGGGCACAAAGTGCGACAACTACGTGAATGCACGCGAGCAAAATGGCCATACGTCCTTCATTTTCAGTCAGGGCATTGCACTAAACCCTCTCAAATCCTCAGCCTGCTTACATGTTAAATAAAACATCTCATCTTCACCTTCACCATCTGCTCTGCTCCAGGGTCTGAGGCTCCGGGGATCTCAGAGGAGCGGGAGCTCAACACAGAAACCACCGGCTCCCCCATCATCTTCAACCCGCACACAGCCCTCTCCATAGAGAAACAGCGACAGAAACTCCCCGTTTTCAAGGTTTCCCTTCACCTCTCAGCATGGATGTATTAATGCCATAAAGTGAGTTGGATGTGATCTGTAGTGATGATCTTTTTGTGAATTGTGTCCCATTCAGCACAGAAACAACATCTTATACTTGGTGGAGAGCTTCCAGACTGTCATCATAGTTGGTGAGACGGGATGTGGGAAGACAACGCAGATACCTCAGGTTAGTGTGACTAAATTCATGCAATATTTACCTTAAAACAAATCGTGTAAAATGACTGAGAGCTGGTGTAAAAAGGGCAAAATCCAACACTGCTGCAGTGGACTGATACCCTTCATGTGGTCCACCCCTCTTGCTCCCGACCTTGCATAACACACAGCAACACACAGCGACCCCCCCCCCCCCCCCCCCCCCCCCCCCCCACCTCCCTTCCAAAAAAATAAAAAAAGACAACATGACCTTGTCTTGATGCTTAGTAGCCTCTTTTTTAGCCTCTTTGGACCAGCTAATTTATGCAAAATATGCTGTTCTGCAACATCACTGTCTCTACCTCATGCTCTGTGTTGTTTTTGATCTACCTTCTCCTTTCATCTGACTCCTTTCAGTACCTTCTGGAGGCTGGCTGGGCAACGGAGGGGAAGGTGATTGGAGTGACACAGCCTCGGCGCGTGGCTGCTATCTCTGTAAGACCTCTACTGATGTCCTCCGTCGCGCTTTGTCATTTCCCTGCAAAAAAAAAAAAAAAAATGTAGTTCACACTGAAGGACACATGCCATGGACTTCAAAGTCGTTATTTTTGTCTCTCGCTTTTCTTTCCTGCTGATAGGTAGCTAACCGTGTAGCAGAGGAGCGGGGGGCCCTGGTGGGACACGAGGTGGGCTACACCATCCGATTTGATGACTGCTCTGATCCCCACGCCACAAGGATCAAGGTATTCCCCGCCAGGTTTTTGAAGTGTTCATCACCAGCTGGTTCCTTGACAGTTTTTTTAATTGTGCCTGTGTGCTTCAGTTCCTTACAGATGGCATGCTGGTGCGGGAGATGATGGCTGATCCTCTTTTGAAAAAATACAGGTATGTCATTGTATTTGCAATAATAGGCCATTTTTACAGCAAATATCTGACGTCAATGGCTGTTTTCTTCAAGTGTCCCTGTAGGCTGTGACACTTGAGCCAGATGCTGAAATTGAAGCAGATAAATGGAATTCTGCCATCATTCATTTCATTATTTAATATGAGTATTACACCCTGGACAGGTTGCCAGACTATCACAGGGCTGACACATAGAGACAGACAACCATTCACGCTCACATTTACATTCACACCTACGGCCAATTTAGAGTCACCAGTTAACCTGCATGTCTTTGGACTGTGGGAGGAAGCTGGAGTACCCAGAGAAAAACCATGCTGACACGGGTAGAACATGCAAACTCCGCACAGAAAGGCTCCTCCCACTCTGACAATGCTAACCACTGCACCACCATACTATCTCGTATATGCTGTAATGGTACCATTTCGTCTTTTGTGCTCCTTCGCACGGTTGCTTGTAAAGTTTTTAGTCAGTCAGTGGTCACTTTGGCAGAAACCACCCAGCATGGACCCCTGAAATCACAGCCTCCAAGATATCCTGATCGGCCACTTTCATTTTCAGTGTTGGAGGTTTAAGCTCAGAGCCATATTGGGGCTACGAAATGCCTAAAATGTGATATCAGATTGTGTATCATGTATTTTCAAACTACAGATAACTTGTATTTAATTAGTACTTTCATAAATTTGATGAGCAAGTATTTGTAATTAGTAACAAGGTACTTTTTGTATATTTGTGCTGGTGGCTTTGCTGCTGTGACATGTCAAAATGTCCCCTTTGAAAAAGACAAGTTGTTATTGGACATGTAAATTAGGGGTGGGCGATATGGCCTTAAAAATTATATCACAATATTTCAGGGTATTTTTTCCATAACGATATTCTTGACGATATGACAAATTAGTTTTAAAGAATTATTATTGATTTAAAAACATAGAATTGCAACAAAGTAAGTGATGTAGTTTTAAAGTTTGCCTTCAAATATTCAGTAAAAACTAAACAAAAATGATCTCTCATTTCTTTAGTTTGTGAACAACAACAGTAACTCACAGTGAGATTCAGATTCTGTTTACAATATTAATAGTTCAACAAAATAAAATTTACCCTGGGATCTATATACATATAAATCAACAGGTGATTTCCTTCTTTTAGTAAAACCCTAACTGACTGAGTTGTTTTGTTTCCACCTGGACCTTTATGCTCTGCCATTTCTCCTCTAATCATCACGCTGTAACCTGTGACAGGCTGTCATGCTACGATAACTATTGCCAATCACATGTGTGTAGTTTTTTGTTGAGCCATGTGCGTCACGTAGCTTTATATTACTAAAGGTTTACGACAAAATCACTTGACGACACCGTCTCACTTGTGTGCACGGCAACTCGCTAAAAGAGTCTGAGAAGTCCGGGGCTGTTCATGAAACATTCAGAATGCTACTGAAGCTGCTCCTTGCTATGCTCATTGTTGCCGTGGGTAACAGTATGATGTCAAAATGTCAACAAGTTGAAATATTTCAATTAACACTATGAATTTTCACATCATTTTAAGAATTATACCGGTATTATTGTGAACAGTATAATATGACAAACCCCTAATGTAAATGTGTTTTTTGTGATCAGTACCAGGCTGGATTCACTCTTTGTAACTCCAGTGTTTTTTCATTGTGCTTC